GTAGGAGTACGCAATGAGGGTTGCAGAGTGGATTATATTTGGGGGTAGGGGGTGAGGTTTGGGGAGGTGCGGGGGGATTGTTCCAATGGGGGAGTTTTTCTTTTGCTTTTCAAGGGGAGGAGCGAAGGGGGAGGGGGAGGGGGTTGTGCGGGGAGAGGGGTGTAGCAGTGAATGAGTGGAGTTCCGGAGTCTCTGTGGATGTTCATTGAAGTGAAAAATAAACAAGCTAAATTATAAAAAAAAAAGAGAGAGAGAATGGGAAGAATACAGAGTACCAAAATACAGTCTCAGAAAGCCTTCATTGACACTGACAAAGTTTGGGAATTATTCACAGCTTTAGTTTGCTTGGCTCCACAGTCAACACTCTTGGCACCAGTAGCCAGGAAATTAAAAGATGTATTGAGATGGGGAAGTCTACTGTTAGGGACCTCTCCAAAGTATTGAAAAGCAATGGTGTCTCTCTGGAGACTAAGGTGTGCCTGATACAGGCCATGGTCTTTGCTCTCACTTGTTATCCATTAGAGACTTGGACAATGACTAAGGATAGAAGGAGAATTGATGTCTTTGAGCTGTGGTGCTGCAGAAGAATTTTGAGGGTACCATGGACTGCTAGGAAATCAAACAGATTCGTCCTGGAAAGGATTAAACCAGGCAGCTCCTTGGAAGCAAGGATTCTGAGGCTCCGTCTAACATACTTTGGACATGTTGTAAGAAGGGACCGATCCTTGGAGAGGGACATCATATGCTTGGTAGAAGGAGGGACAGCGCAGGAGAGGAAGGCCCTCTATGAGGTGGATTGACTCAGTGACCGGGGTAATCGGGATGGGTGTGTCAGAGACAGTGCAATTGGCACAGGACAGAGCAGAGTTTAGGGATGTTGTACATAGGGTCGCTATAAGTCACAAGTGACGCAATGGCACATAACAACAACAACATCATATGAACAAGAGCCATGGTAATAAAGAATAATTTCAAGCTGCACTGAGGCTCTGACAACAAAACAAGGCCCCAGAAATTGATAGAATACCGATAGACATGTTTCAGCTAAGAGATGCAGTCCTGAATGTGCTCACCAGTCTAAACCAGGAAAATTGAAGGACAGCTAGCTGCCTGACCGACTAACTGGAAAAGATCGATGATTGTTCATATTTCCAAGAAAGGTCATCCAATATAATGTGTTAATTATCAAACGATATCATTAATATTATGAAGCTCTGGTGACTCAGGGGTGAGGAATTGCACCTGATCCAAGTCATAGTATTTTTTTTTTTGCCATGATATATAAACAGATAATTTTTTTGCTATGGTACTTCTGATTTCTTCTTGTGCATCTGAAAATTGGACAGTCATTAAGGTTAAAAGAGGAGAATTGATGCTTTTGAATTGTGATATTGGAGAAGAGTGCTGAATATCAATCACATAGACTACCAAAAGAACAAACAAATATGTCTTGAAGAAAGTACAACCTGAGTGCTTCTTAAAGGCCAGGATGTTGAAACATCATCTCACATACTTTGGACACATAGTCAAGTCCTTTAAAAAATATTTGAAGCTGCAAAAGATGGAGGGCTAGAGAATGAGAGGTAAATCCTCAAGAAAATTAATTGACACAGTGATTGTCAAAATGGGCTCAACCAGATCAGATAGATAATAAGGATGGCACATGATAGGGCAAGGTTCAGATCTTTTGTTTATAAGATTACATCTGTTATTCATAATCAACTCCAGGGCATCTAACAATAGCACTGTATGTTAAAGTGACTAAAAGCCATTAAGTTATTTCTAACTGATAAAACCTTATATTCAACAGAATATAACATCATCCTATCCAGTGTTATTCTCTTAATACTTGCTGTGTTGAGTATACTGCTGTAGCCATACATAGGGTCCTTAATCCATAGAATGTTTCACTGCCAACCCAAAGGTTGCACTTCTCTGTCGTTATGAATCTAGCTCTCTGGGACAAAGATGGACAATTTTCCCTTCTTCTATTTCTGGTCTCAGAAATCCAGTGGAGAGTCAGCTTGAAATCAGTTCCAAAACACAGTAATGGATCTGCTTTATCTGTGTCATTTTCCAGTCTGAGCTCTTCTGATAACCTATGTCAAGTGCAGGAAATATAGTCTTGCCATCTTTATTTCTGAAGAAAATATTGGTTACATTTCTTCTAAGACAAATTTATTTTACTGGCAATTTACACTATATTTAGTATTCCAACAAACACCATAATTCAAAGGCATCAATTCTTCCTTCATTTTGTTTGTTCATTTTTCAGTGAATGTATACATGATAATTGAAATTACCACAATTATGGCCAAATGCACCTTAATTTGTAAACTGATGTTCTTGCTCGTTAGCACTTTTTTTGGAGGCCTTTGCTAGCAGATTTGCAGATTTACTTTGTTATTTGATTTATTCCCTGCTTCTTTTATGGGCACTGATGGTGGATCCAGGTAAAATGAAGTCTTTGACAACTGCAATTTTTTCTCTGTTTTTCATAAAGCTGACTATTGATCTAGTAATGAAAGCTTTTGTTTTTCTATATTAAAGTTATCAACACCCTTGGTGGCAGCATTCAGAATATCAGGAGATATACAGCTGTATGAAAGTCAGCTGTCAAGGAAAGTTCTGAAGAGTAAAAATGGTAAAGACTAAGATGCACCTGATTCGAGTCATAATCCTTCCAATAGAGAAAGCTGGACAATGAATAAGGATGACAGAAAAATAGTGGATACCCTTGAGTTGTGATGTTGAAGAAGAGTACTAAATATCCCACACCCTTCCAAAAGAACAGATATGTCTTGGAAAAAGTGCAGTCAGAGTGCTCCTTAGAGGTAAGGATTGTGAAGCTTTGACTCAAATATTTTGTCATGTTGTTAGGAGGACCCATTACTTGGAGGACATCGTGCTTGGAAGAATGGAAGGTCAGTGAAGAAGAGGAAGAACTTCAATGAGATGGATTGGCACAGGGACAGCAGCAATGGGCTCAAGTGTGTTGGAGGTGGTGAAGATAGTGAAGGATAGGAGAGAGTTCAGATCTGTCATTTCTAGGGTTGTTATGAGTTGTACTCGACAACAAATAACAACAACAACTTATTGAGGTTTAAATCTTATAAAAATATTATGTAATAATTGAAGTTAGTCTTAATGTGTAGACATTTGTTGTTGTCAGGTGTGACCGAGTTCAGTAAGACTCACAATGACCCTACAAACAGAAGATCTGAACCCTGTTCTCTCCTGCACCACTCCTTACACTTCCTGACAAAATAACTCATTGCTACAATCACCATGTCAATCCACCTAGTTGAGGGTCTTCCTCTTCTTTGCCGACCCTCCACACTTCCCAGCATCATGTCTTTCTCCAAGGAATAGGCCTTCCTAGTAACATGCTCAAAGTATGGGAGGCAAATCTTCATCATTCTTGCTTCCAAAGAGCACTCTGGCTGCCCCCTCTCCAGGACATATCTGTTCATTAATTATAGTAAAATTAACTTGTTGTGTTGTTATGTGTCATTGAGTCACCTGTGACTCATAGTGACCCTAGGTACAATAGTCTGAAACCCTGCTCTATCCCTTGCCAATCTTATTGTCTCAGAAACACCTCTCCCCATTACCCCAGTGACTGAATCAATCCATCTTATCGACGGTCTTTCTCTCCTGCACTGTCCCTCCACCCTCCCAAGCATGATTTCCTTCTCCAAGAACTGATCCCACCTTGCAACATGTCCAAAGTATGTCAAGGACCTCTTTAAAATGCTAAAGAGCAAATATACTGTTTAAAAGACTTATATGTACCTGATCCAAGCTATGATACTTGTAATTTTTTTCTATGTATTTGAAAGTTGAACAATCATTAAAGATGAAAGAAGGGGGACTGATGTCTTTAAATTGTGGTCTTGGAAAAGAGTATAGTGTAGACTGCCAAAAGAACATGAAAGGCTCCTAAGATCAACATGGACTGCCAGAGAACATGGAGAGCACACGGACTGCCAAAGGAACAAACAAATCTATGCTGTAGGGAGTGCAACCAAAGTGCTGCTCAGAAGCAAGAATGGTGAAACTTTGTCTCACTTACTTAGGGCATATTTTCAGGAAGAACTAGTCCTTGGAAAGAGAAACCATACCAGTAAAGTTAGAGGGTTAGTGAAAGAGAGGAAGGTCCTCAATAAAGAGATTTGACAAAGTGACTACCACTATGCGCTTCAGAAGGACAAAGATCCGGGCAAGGTGTATAGAGTCCTTATGCGTAACAGTTAACTTGATGGCTCTTAACAGCAGAGGAAGTAGTCTAATTTGTAACAATAAGAATAGGAAAGGAAAATATGGTTTTTGTTTGCTCGTATGACTCTATATTTCTTTTTAAAAGATTTTTGAAAGAAATTCTTTCAATAATACCTGTTGTCTTTAAGGCTGAAGTGACAGCAAATACCTCATATCTCATTGCCATTGAGTCTCTTCTCACTTAGACACTTTCAGTGAGTTTCAAAGGTTGTAAATTGCATGGGAAGAGATCTTTAGTCCTGTCAAGTAACCCAAAAACTTAGTCTACTGAATTTAAACAGTTTGCCCCAGCATATACCACCGATGTGAAATAGACAGTCCTTCTACTTCACAGTCCAGCTCTTCATCACATCTCATGATTCCCTCTAAGGGAAATGGCAACATGATCTTAAAGAAGTTAAGAAGTGCTATCAATACAGTCTAGTTTGGTGTTTGGCTTTAAAAAAAATGGGGCCACACCTCAATGCTCATCATACCTCCCCTACTGGGGAGTGTGGCCATCTGAGTCATCATGTCGTGTGCCCTCTGTTGCTTGGAACTCCATTAGACAGGTATTGACAATTACTTCATTGTGTGGGACCAGCTGGCACAAAATTGATCATGTTCTTATCAGGCTACATCAAGACTGCAAGCCTCAGTCATTAAACTTGCTGGACTCGTTTCCTCACTTGTTGCCAGTGACTCTTATTATCTTCCAGCCTCCTTGTCCTGACTTGGCTGATACAGATCAGATGGTGACTGAAGAGAAGCTGCCCCAGTCCTGGGTACATGATGTACGCGTAAGTACTCAGCTTTTCTCAGCAAGAGTGGTCAGTGGGAACAAAGATGTATAGCTCTTGAGATAGCTGGGACAGATGTTAGTTGGTAGAGTCTACTTCCAAAAAAAAAAAAAATAACAAAAAACTTACCTGTGTTATTATGAGATGGGCTGGCATTTCGTATTAAAGTGTTTTATGTATGTTGTATCTGAGGTTAAAGTTCTGTTGTTTCTAAATGTGAGAGTTCTTTACACTGAAAAATTATTTGTAAAATATTCCACCAATAAAGTGATCTTTTCAAAAATTATGTCATGTCAGTTATATAATATTTAAATAATCATAGAAAGCTTTGCTTCAATAATAAATTGTTTTATGTATTTTATTTAATTTTTTTATTATGTTCAACACCAAAATTTTGCCTGATGTTGCTTAATGAAATGGATACTGGGGAAATTAGAAATGTAAAACTACTAGAATTTTTAAAAATTCTACTAGAATTTTCAAATTCAAATGCAAGTCTATTAGATTTAAAAAGTTCAAATAATAAAAAATAGGACAGTATTAGGTTTATTGTACATACCACATGAATGAAATTACAAAATTAATAATTTATTTATAATACATAATTATTGAATTAACAAATCTAGACTAAATGTGACTATTGTAAAAGATAGAACTCCAGAATACATGACCAACAAATGAGTTTAATTGAACTCTTAAATAATTATATGTAAGTATCATTTAGTTATTATATGGATGATCATTTTTAAGGAAAATTATTTCATTTAAACTTTAACCTACTTTCTCAAAGAGGTCTTTAATTCTCTGTGAACCCTAATTTCCCACGTGTTCTACTGACATTTCAGACTTCCTCATGATTTTGTAGTAATAATTACACTGTCATTTGATTTTGTCTTCAATTATATATAATGCTTCCAGCCTGTAGACTGTGATATTACAAATATGACTATTCTTGGTTCCCTAATTCGTTCTTACATCACAGTGTGAGGCTGACTGATACATCTCTAATGGTGTGTTTAAAACTCCTCACCCAATTGCATGATGATATTACCTACATTTATAAATATGAGAGCTAATTTTTTTCTTATTTAGTGAGAATAGGACAAAATTAAGATAAAATATAAAGAAAAAAAGCTGTCTTTATTTTTATAAATCTTAAGGCAAACATATTAGCAGAAGCCACGAAGTTATATTCATTAACTCCAAGTTTCTATGATATATCCTTTCTATCAGCTTGCTGTCGTCTTCCCAAGTTAAAACCTCATTTTCTTCATCTCTTCAATTTCCCACTCTGATAATATTAAGTCAGTTAAATGCCTCTTGAAGCCTTATTAACCATAGTTCTAATTTTCATAGTTCTGAGAATCTTAGAGGTCTTTCTAATTAAATTTTAAAACATTATTGTTTATAATACAGATTTCTGTCAAAAAAGAGAAAAAATTAAATAGATTGTTTTGTAGAGATCAGATAGGAAGTTCAGGCAATAGATTAGTTGAATTAATTAATAAAGATATTTTGCCTAAGGGATCTAGCCTTCTTAAATAGTGTGTGAGTCAGAAGTGCTATACCTTCTTAGCAAAAGTATTATCTTTCTCATTATCCAATATGCTAACAAGAGGCACTGTGTTGTAGTGGAAAGAGTAACAAGAGATTTAAATGTGTTCTATAGTCCTGTACTCTGGCAGCTGAGCTCTAGATCCTGTGTGATTTGCCCAAATTCCCATGTCAAGGTGTTACTACTTCTATAATAAAGATAAAATTGATAGCTTTTGTTGAAATAAATAGCGCATTGTCACAACAGGCCTTGAAAATAGCTACATAAAACTATGAAATCCAAGTGGCACAACAATTACATTCTTGCATGGTGACTGAAAAAATTGAACCCACTCTGCCACTTCACAAAAGAAAGACCTGCAGTTATGCCCCTATAAAGAGTCCAGAAAGAAGGTTGCAAAATGGAGTGTACTCGGGGTGGGGGGCTTGTATACCAATGAAGGAATTTTTCTTTTACTTTTCAAAGAGAAGAAAGAGTGAACTGGGGGAAGGGGCGGGCAGAGAAAAAAATGCAACAATGAATGAATGGAAATCCAAAATCTTTGTAAATGCTCATTAAATGTAATAAAATAAAAATTTTTTAAAAAGATAACAACATAGAAAGCTCTCTACTGTGTCATATAGGGTACCTAGGGGTTGAAAGATACATTTGATAGCACCTAAAAATGACAACATATTATGTTTAAGAGGTTTAATTGTTGCTGTTTTTGCTATTGTTAGGTGCCATCTAGACAAATATAAATCATAGTTTCTTTTTATAATAGATCTGAACCCTGTCTTATCCTCTGCCAAACTCACCGTCATGCTGCAGTAACTGTGTCCATCCTCCTGGTTCATAGTCTTCCTCTTCTTTGTCATCCCCTCACCTTTCCTATAATAATGTCCTTCTCCAAGGAATAGTCTTTCCTAGCAACTTGCCTAGAGTATGCAAGAAGAAGCTTCACCTCCTTGCCTCCAAGGAGCACTCTGGCTGGATTTCTTTAAGACAAAACTGTTGTTTTGGTCAGTCATGAGACATTCAGTTCTCTTCTCTAACACCACAATAGAAAGTATGAGGTTGGAAAACTGGAAATTGTGAAAATGGGGGAACAATCTGCACATTTTTAATTACGTTGTAGCTTAGGTATCTGTATTCTTGCTTATTTAATATTGTTATAATTAGTATATCATTTGTCTCTCAGTTTGCTGAACTGTGGTTACCTGTGGCTACTGTGCAAAGCTGTGCCTCCAGTTTGTCAAATGCCAGAGTTGTCACCCATGTTGGACAGTTTTAATAGAGTTCCCAGATTAAGACACCCTAATAAAAAGGATTGTCCACTCACTTCTGAAACAGCAGGCCTCTGAAAACCCTATGAACAAAACAAGTTTAAGTGTTAATTATACGTAAAGGATGTTTCAGATAGATGTGTGTAGATTGGTGTGGTAAAAATATTTTTTAGAAACACTACATTGGATAGACCTTATTGAAGAATTTACTGATGAAGCTCAAACATTGGAGTCTTGAGTATACGTTATACTTCAACATAAAAACCCCAAAAATCCTCAAAGCAGGACCAATAAATAGCATCAAATAGAAAGGTTTTTCTTTTACTGGGATCCACAATCAACCCCAACGAAAACAGTAGTTATAAAATCAAATGACATATTACCTTGGAAAAATCTTCTGCCAAGGATTCCTTTAAAGGATTAAAGGGTATACTTAGCCTGCCTAACTTGGGCTATTTTAAATTGCTTCATAAGTATGTAAAAGTTGGATGATAAATAAAAAAAGAATTGGTGATTTGATACCTTTGAGCTGTGGTGCTGGAGAAGGGTATTGAAGGTACCATGGACTGCTCGGAAAACAAACAGATTCATCCTGGAAAGGGTTAAACAGAGTGGCTCCCTGGAGGCAAGGATTCTGAGGCTTTGTCTAACATAATTTGGACATGTTGTAAGGAGGGACCAGTCCTTGGAGAAGGACATCATGCTCGGTAGGGTGGAGGGACAGCACAAGAGGGGAAAGCCCTCTATGAGGTGGATTGATTCAGTGACTGGGGTTATCAGGATGGGTGTATCAGAGACAGTGCGATTGGCACAGGACAGAGTAGAGTTTAGGACTGCTGTACATAGGTTGCTATGAGTCGCAAGTGACTCGACGGCACATAACAACAACAACAGCAAATTGTGATGTTTTTTGGAAGAAAATTGAATATGCTAGGGACTGTCAAAACAAAAAACCAAAATATGAAACCACCAAATTTGTTTTTAAAGAAGTGTAGTCAGAATACTCCTCAGAAGCAAAGATGATGGGACTTGGCATGCCAATAGGATGGCCTATCTCCGTGGTTGGAAAACTAGAATATCATGGAGGCAGAGGAACACCCTTAACAAGACAGATTGACAAAATGACTATAACAATGGGCTTAATTAAACACAGCTGAAATTGTGAGAAATCAGGCACGATTTATTTCTGTTCCATATGAGGTTGAAGAGTTGGGGGGGGAAATTGATGGCACCTAACAAGAATTTTTTTTTTTAATTTTTAAGCCTATAATTTCACGAGTTCAGATGTGCAGGAAGCAATTGAAAATATCATGATTTGAATTTGGTACACCTTAGTTTTTAAACTGATATTCTTGACTTTTAAAATTTTAGATAGGTCCTTGACAGCAAATTTATCCAATACAACACTTCTTTTGATTTCCTCATTGCTGCTACTATGAGTATTGACAGTGAATCCACGTTAAATGAGGCATGTATTTACATGTACATATGTGAAGATACGGCATATCTATACTAATGTGTTATGTGAATATATTATGTGTGTATACCTACACATATGCACAAACATATATGTATTTATGAGTAAAAATAGTTTCTGTATTCACAGAATTCATAAAATAAAGGAGGAAACATGAAAAATACTTGAAACAAAAAAATGTTCACACAAATATGATGAAAATGAAATAAAAGGTTTTATATATATTTCCCTCACTTAAATATCTCTAATTAATTTAATTTCTTTTATAATTCTTGAATTTGGTAGGATTGGTGGTAGTGATTATTGCAAGCTTGTTTATCTATAGATAAACAAGAATTAAAGTCATAGAGTCCAGTTTGACTATATTAAATATTCATATGGTTTTAAACTCTGCTTAAAGAGTTCCTTGAAGAGTTTACTCATACACAATTGACATATTGATTGCGTGTTGTTGTTGTTGTTAAGTGCCGTCGAGTTGAAGGCGACTCATAGAGACTCTCTGAAGGAGAGTCCTCGATGCTTGGGTGCCTTTCATCCTCTCTCCAGGTTCATAGGGTTTCTGGAGGCAAGCTATTATGGAAGTGGATGCCACTCCTCCTTCCAAGCTTGTTTTAATCGGGGAGCTCCACCCTACTCTCTGTTCGCATTGGGTAACCAACCATTAACGCATTTGACACATCAGTGTCACAGTATTCAGCCTCAC